TCACCTGCTCCCAGCCCAGCGCCAGCCAGCAGCTCCCTGCCTTTGGAATCGGATCAGAAAGCTCAGGAACCCGCATGCCAGCTCATATGAGAGCTGGAAAAAAAAAATATCCAAGCCCAAATCCATCTGTTCTCCCTCTTTTGAAGCCATTTCCAGCTTCCCTGTGCCTGCAGCTTTTCCCTGCCCCGTGTGGTGCCAGCTCGTGCCAGCTCTGCCGTGAGCTCCCGCCGTGCCCAACGTGCTCCCGGCCGACACAAGGCTCAGGGCAGGCACAGCCCCAGGGTCCCCCCACCCCATGTCCCACCTGGAGGGGGCAGGAGGCACCCAAAGGTACCCGTGACCCCTCCCCGGTGCCCACCACCAGCTGGTGTGGGGCAGGGGGACAGGAAAGAGCCACCATCCAAGAGAAACAGGGAAAACCAGACAGCCTCAGCTTCGTGTTCTCGGAAAGCACATCTGGAAGGTGTCCCAGGGCCATTCCCACTATCCTTGAAGAAATCCCACACCGCCAATGCCAACCTTATCTCCACGGTGCAGGCAGGAGCCGGGACCGGTGAGTCCCGGAGCAGCGGCACCACCGGGAAAGGAGCACGGATATCTCCACTCCCACTCCCATTTCCACCTCCTCTCTCCAGCTCCCAGCACTGCCAAGCCCCCTCCATGTCCCCCAGCAGTCACAGTGTCCCTGCTCCAGCCGGGGGGACACTGCCCCACTTCCAGCCTTCAAAAGTGCCACCCACCACCAGCAGGCTGCTTTTTTTCCCTATTTTTTCCCTTTTAATCAGTATCCATGTGTTTGACTCCCCCTCTCCAAGAGAATTACCAATTAAGATATCAATTTAGATAAATTGGGGGTTTGGAGCAGATTTGTGCTGCAATTGCATCAATCCAGCAAATGTAGCCGGGGCGGCTGCTGGAGCCTGGAATGTGGCTGCCCAAGGAGGGAGCCTGTGACTAAAAAAGGAGGTGGAAATATCCCGAACTCTGGGAAGGGCGGTGACACCGACACCCAGGAAAGCTCCAAGGTGGATCCAACAGGTCGGAACCCATCGCCTCAACCCTCCCAGGGGTTGGGCTCTTCCTCCCATCCCACGGTGCTGCCAGACACGGCTCGGTTCCGCCTTTGGATGGATCCAATGCTGGCAAACTGCTTCAGTGGGACTGGATCTGTCACAGAAACGGAGCCCAAATCCCAACACGGGGTTTCAGGGCTGAGCAGTGCACAATGGCAGAGTGATGGGCACCACCCACAGCCATGGAAGGGCTTCCTCGCACCTGGAGCTGCCTGGATCATCCCAAAAACTGGAACACCCCATGGTCCCAGCTCCAGGTGTGGGTGACAGCCTGGCAAGGGTCTCCAGCCATCCCAGCGAGGGGTTCCAACCATTCAAATGAAGGGTTCCAACCATCCCGGCGAGGGGTTCCAACCATTCAAATGAAGGGTTCCAGCCATCCCAGCGAAGGGTTCCAACCATCCAAATGAGGGGTTCCAACCATCCAAATGAGGGGTTCCAACCATCCCGGCGAGGGGTTCCAACCATCCCAGCGAGGGGTTCCAACCATCCCAGCGAGGGGTTCCAGTCATCCCAGTGAGGGGTTCCAGCCATCCCAGTGAGGAATTCCAACCATCCCAGTGAGGAATTCCAACCATCCCAGCAAGGGGTTCCAATCATCCCATCGAGGGGTTCCAGCCATCCTGGTGAGGGGTTCCAGTCATTCCAGCGAGGGGTTCCAGCCATCCCATCGAGGGATTCCAGCCATCCCAGCAAGGCCCTACGGCCATTCCCACACACCACAGCAGCAGCCCTGCCCCTGGAGCAGCAGGAGATGTGTCTCCACCCCGACCCGTGACGCTCCCCGGCAGAGCCGAGCGCTGGGGACGTTCGCGGTGCCGGTTCCCACTCCCGGGATTCATCCCGCGCCAGGAGATGAAGGTGAGAGATGAAAGGCTGGAGGATTTCACTACACTCAGTTTTCAGTCTGTCACTTCCCATCTCCTCCATCAGGTGCCGTGGGATCAATTATCGCTCGGCAGGTCGGGATGGAGCTGTGATATCCAGGAGCTGCTGCTGGAGACTGTGGGAATGTGACGGCGGCAGAGCCGGGCCCGGCAAGGGGCTATGGAGCTGCCAGGACATAGGGGTGGGACTGGTGGGTGAAACCTTCCAGAAGAGCCTGGAATCAACCCTAAATGTATACTTTATATGTTGCCTATTCAGAATTTTATATATTGTCTACTAGGAATTTTATATATAATATATAAACTTTTCAACCACTGAAGTGGAAGAGGAGGGGGAAAAGCATCACTAATTCCACTCAGGGGTAATTAATAACCACATAAGCAGCACCAGGGATGAAAACACAATGGATCTACAGATGGATAAAACCCAGAGGGAAATACAGGGGGTGTAATGGGGGCACCCCCAGGCCAGGGGGCCCAACTCGCTCCTGCAGCCTTGGGGAGACCAAAGAGGGCAGGAGAGCTGGTACCAGTGCCAGGACACAAAACCCCACCAGTCTGGAGTGCCCTAGGCAGAGGCTGGCACAGACAAGGAGCCAGGAATGGCTCTGGAGCACCGGCTGCTCCAGTTCTGGAAGGAAAGGGAAGGAGAGGAGGAAAAGGGAAGCAGCTCTTCCTCCACAGCACCACGGACAGTGAGGACTGGGAATCCCACCCCACTGGGGGTCTGGCAGCAGGACAAGGCACCCACAAACCTTGGGTGTGCCCTAAAGGTGCAGATGATTCCCAATGCCAATCCCATTCCATAGGAACAGAGATGGACCTGCACAGACCAGAGACTTGGCTGTGATCCAGCGACATCAAGGTGCTGGGACATGACATTATGGTGCTGGGATGTGAGATCAGGGTGCTGGGATGTGACATTGGGGTGCTGGGATGTGACACTGGGGTGCTGGGATGTGACATCATGGTGCTGGGATGTGACGTCAGGGTGCTGGGATGTGACATCGAGGTGCTGGGATGTGACATCGGGGTGCTGGGATGTGACAT